TGGAAATCCAAAAATTCAATACTTCTAAACCACTGGATCAACCTTCTCTCAGAATACATCTCTATGTAAAAAGCACTGCTCACAGTAACAACATATCAGTTTTTAAGGAAAGATGGTCCCCATTCGTGTTATGTTTACCGAGAATTCTCTGACACTCACATCTGTACACACCTACACAAACACACATACATACACCCACGCCCACACCATATGCCTCATCATAACTGCTTAATGTTATTGTCTATCTGTATGTCAGTTGTGTTTGCCCCATTCCCCTTCTATGTATCCACCTTATTTTTCACGGAAACACGGAGGCAAAACAGAACGCAGCCAGCTTCCGTTTTTTTGTGCGACACTTCCGGTCCAGCACTCTTACCACTGTGTAAATGGGAATCGCCTTGTTGTTTACCTTGCTGAGTTTAGCTATATATATGTATATATCACATTTTTCACGTCACTATATCACCGTTTAGACTAATCTGATGTTTGTAAAGTCTATAAACACAATGACTGAACAAACATTAGTATTTTCTCTGTGTGTAATTAATAACATGGTTATCGTAGATTAGCTGGGCTAACCGTTAGCTGTTAGCCGTTAGCCGTGTCTGTAATAACTCACTAAACTCACAAAGTGGCCCGTGAAAAAAATATTTTCTCCAGCGGATGTCTTAGTTACAACATGATTGAGCTAACTGGAGTAGTTTCATGTCGTATCCGACAACGGGAGGCTTTTAACGGATGACGATCCTGATGTTAGCTTTGCTGCTAGTGTTAACGTTAGCTGTCCCTGTCAGCTGCAGCCACTGATGCTTTCTAGACATCGTGATTTCCCAAAACTGAATAAATACCACACATAGCAACACAAAACTGCTTTGCTAGCTCAATCATGTTGTAACGGCTGGATGGTTGATGCGTACATGCTGATTCAGGTGCTATCAGAGCCGATCCGCGCATCACTATGGCTTAATGATCAACTCAGTCAATTAAAACAACCCGTCCTGTGTTAGGAGTGTATGTCGCTGACAGAAAGAAAGAAAGAAAAGGGAAAAAAAGATAGAAAAGCAGCGTACACCTCACATATTTATTTCTCACAGTTGCGCACACGTTTGGCTGGCATGCAGAAGCACCGTCTGTGTGTCTGTGTGTCGAGGGTGCGAGCCGCAGCTTCAGCTGCTCAGGTAGAGAGGCTGTGTAGCCCGGTGTGTTTTTTCGCTGATTCGGTTCTGCAGGTTCTCTGCTGGTACACTGGAGACGGGGATCAAGCAGTTTGTCTCACTCGGGATAGATTGTGCTTTTTTGGTTCATAGTTTATGATTGACGTGCGATTTATTCGCGTTTAGAGGGAATAAATTTCCGTTATAACGGAAACGTGGACACAGTTATCTAACGTTATACAAAATACACAGACTAACTAACTAATTAACTGATTGACTAACATAAACAACTGAAAATTGAAAAAAAAATTAGCTTGCACCGTTAGCTCCGGTAAGGGAAAGCATGAGGGAAAGCGGCTGACCGGAAGTCACGCACAAAGAAAAAACGGAAGTTGATCACTATTTACTTCCGTGTTTGAAAATAAGGTGGATACGTGCCACCTTTTTTTTTGTTGTGTCATAACATTTCACCAGTAAAATGTGAAAAACAACCTCTGTTGAGTTTACTTGAATTTATGGCTTTATTCAGTTTTCTGTTAATAGAATGCTTTGACAACAGAGAGCATGCATAGTCACAGTCTGGGGCAAAAGTTTAAAGACCTCTTGTTCCCCCAGCATGTAGCTTGTCTCAAAGTGTCAGGAAAAACAAGGTCATAAAGAGATGCATTTATGAAGCTTCTTATCTATATCGTCTACAATACCAGCTAACCCTAACCCCTGTATATCACAAGAAATGTAGGCATATCAAGGTCTAATTAATCTTTATGACTAGACAGCCTGAGCGTCCTTCCACGTAAAAGAGGGTATGAAGGTTGCTGTTGCCCCTTTCCGGTTATGCAAGGATGACTTAACCATGTATTTTTATATCTCCTGACTTCTTGCAGTCTGCATCACTGCTAAATAAAATTAATTCATTGATTTTACAGATAAAATGACAATGGTGTGTTGGGAGAATAAACAAATGATCAATAAAAACAGATATAACAATGGAATGTAAAATTAACAGATCAAATGAATATATTAATAGAGTTGAAATGACTGCATTCTGTAACAATGTAATAACAGTAAAAGTCTTAAGGCAGAATTATTCTTATAAAATCACAATAAACAAAGTTTCAAAGATTAGAACAGTCATAATATACAGTCTTGATTTTGAGGTACAAATCATCTATGTAAATGTTCCAATTGTTGAAAGAAGGAAGAAATTCTCAGGTAGTGTGATATTTTGGTATTAGTAGTTCCTGTGTTACCAATAACAGTTATGATGACTGGCATTAAGAACCTTTAAAAAAGAAAACATAGAATTAAATATGTATTTGTGCTTCTTGAGGTTCACAGTGTTAAATCATCAGAATCATGTGCTCTGCCACACAGGTATAGAGGTCTGTCTGGGGGCTACACCACTGGAGTAAGGTCCGTAATATGACTTTGGTTTTAGCTTCTGGCACTCTTTGGTGAGCTTCAGACACACAAAACAGATCTTCACCTTACACCGGGGACAGACAACGTTTTTACATGTTTTTTGTTATGCTCCACCAGAACACCACAGGTGGGACAGGCACAGATGGAGGGACAGCCAGTGACCCCCTTCACATCCTTGAAGGTGATAACTGGGCAGTTTCTCAGTATTTCTAATGGCTGATTGATGCAGCCATCAATTCCACAGCGGTCTGAACGTGGAGCTGGTTCTTTCCATCCCCTCAAACACTGCCAGCAGAATTTATAAGTCCTTCCTTTATCAGCTTTGCACACTGGGCACTGAGATCATGGAGATCAGTTCTCACCACACCAGACTGACAACCAGGACACTGAGGAGTGACGTTATATGAAAAACCAAATGAGATGTTTTAAAATACATCCTAGTATTTGCATGCACAACCTTTTTTCTATGAACAGTTCGTAAATAGTGCACTTAAGATACTTATTACTTTGACATTTAAGTAATTCTTGACAGCATTATTAAATACATACTTTTATTTTTCTACATTTTAGAGGGAAATATTGTACTTGTTACCCAACTGTATTTATCTGACAGCTGTACTGCCCCTTTTGAGATTTTACATAGAAAAACATCTACTAGGCAACTTATTGCTACTTTCACATAGCTACTGACTGAATAATGTGAGTTGTTTAGTGATGTGTCAATACATACTGAAGTTAGACAAAGTTACTTACAGCACCTTTTCTAAGCAGATTCATGGTTCTCATTTGACTTCTACAGTCAGTCTATGTTTTGATGGATGAAGAAAAGAAATGTTGATCAACCTCTGTTGAGTTTACTTGAATGTATGGCTTTATTCACAGTTTTCTGTTAATAGAATGCTTTGACAACAGAGAGCATGCATAGTCACAGTCTGGGTCAAAAGTTTAAAGACCTCTTGTTCCCCCAGCATGTAGCTTGTCTCAAAGTGTCAGGAAAAACAAGGTCATAAAGAGATGCATTTATGAAGCTTCTTATCTATATCGTCTACAATACCAGCTAACCCTAACCCCTGTATATCACAAGAAATGTAGGCATATCAAGGTCTAATTAATCTTTATGACTAGACAGCCTGAGCGTCCTTCCACGTTAAAGAGGGTATGAAGGTTGCTGTTGCCCCTTTCCGGTTATGCAAGGATGACTTAACCATGTATTTTTATATCTCCTGACTTCTTGCAGTCTGCATCACTGCTAAATAAAATTATTCCCTCAAACACTGCCAGCAGAACATGAAGGTATTTTTTTTTTATCAGCTGTGCACCGTGTGCATTTGACACTGAGATTACAGAGATTGGGTCTCATCACAGAAGACTTGCAGCCAGGACACTGTTAAATATGTGAAAAACAGAATTAGATGTCTCTAAATTCACCTTTGTAGCCTTTAGCACACACGTCTTTTTTTCTAAGAACAGTTGTAAACTGTGTAACTGAAATATCCTACTTACTAATTTGGCATTCAAGTGATCCTTATAATTGTTGAACCCTCACAACCCCATTAACCAGAGCATTTGATTTATATCTTCTCTTTTGGAAATATTTAGAAATAGAGGGTATTTCGCACTCAGTTCAGTCAAAGTGAAAGCTAAAGTCACAGAAGAAGTCATCCTCAATTCTTTTACACTTTGATCATTTTACTTTATAACCTGTAGGCTTAATCATTTTACATTTTAAGGCTTTTTAAAAACTTAACACAGAGCAACACAATTTCAAATCAGCACTGACTCCATACTCCCAAAACTGAAACACATTTGTAATTTACATGGGTTACTTTCCATGTTTCATAAATAAACAACTCTCATAAATTGTAATTCCCTTCTCTTAATTTAAAAAATACAGACAGGAAGGGTTTTGTTGACAGCTCCAATGTATTTCCAATGTTTTTGCATTCACAATATCTGCAAATTTTAAGGTGTAGGACGCTATAAACAGCTGATTAGTACAGATAAGCTGTAGTTGTTACTTTTCACATTCAGCTTATACGTAAATCAGTTCATAAAATATGATGTATTGTCACAGATTAAACTACCCCAAAGTCCATAAAGCAGTCAGAATCCCCTCCACCCTACAACATGTAGCTACTATTTACATTTTAATATATCAATAATTTAACATAATATGACAATGTGATCATATTGAATGAAGGGGCCATTCTGCATGATGACTAGCCTGCTTTACTTTTGATACTCGATGTACATTTCGCTTATGATCCTTGTGTGAAATGTTGAATGCAGGACTTTTACTTGTAACCAAATAAATGATCTGAATACGTCTTCCACTATTGTACTCAGTATACATTTACTTAACCACTATATTCCAATTAATGTGATAATGATATACTGAAGTTGCACAAAGGAACTTACAGCAGCTTTTATAGGCAGATTCATGGTTGATATTTATTCATATTATGTTTTTATGATACTTCCCAATATCTTTTTTGCCACAGAACAGGACAGGGCTCAGTGTAGCTGTAGAGATCTGCATTACTTCTAAATTAGAAATCATTTATTTGAACCAATAGTATATATTTTTTATTAATTTTTATTTTACAGGAAAATTGACGTTATTTTGGGGGAATAAACACAAAAATCGTAAAACAATGATAAAACAAAAGAAGTTCATTTTAAAATATTACAGAGATCAAAATAAGTGCAGACTGTAACTATGAGTGACTGAAGATGATTCTTACAAAAACAACATGGACATAGTTTCAAATATTACCATAAATATTAAATACAATTTTGAGTTCAGAGTAGAAATGATCTGTGTGAATGTTTTTATTGTGGGAGGAGAAGGTAAATCTCATGTTATGTGATTGTTCCAAATTATAAGTACAAAAAAGATCTTTGGCCCTGGCCTGGTATAATGGGAGTTCCTGTTTCAACAACAGTTGTGATGATTATGAAGCAACTTTTAAAATGAAAATAAAGTAGAACAAAAAAGGTATATTTATATTCAAATCATCACAATCATGTGCTCTTCCACACAGGTATAGAGGTCTGTCTGGGGGCTACACCACTGGAGCAAGTTTCGTAATATGAGTATGGTTTTAGCTTCAGGCACTCTTTGGTGAGCTTCAGACACACAAAACAGAACTCCACTTTACACCGGGAACAGACAATGTTTTTACATTTCTTTTTACTATGCTCCACCAGGAAACCACAGGTGGGACAGGCACGGATGGAGGGACAGCCAGTGACCCCCCTCACAGACTCAAAGATGATATCCGGGCAGTTTCTCAGTGTCTCTAATGGCTGATTGATGCAGCCTTCATTTTCACAGCGGTCTGAACGTGGAGCTGGGCCTTTCCATTCCTTCAAACACTGCCAGCAGAACATGAAGGTCTTTTTCTTATCCGCTGTGCACAGTGTGCATTTGACACTTAGATTACAGAGATCGGTTCTCATCACACATGACTTGCAGCCAGGACACTGTTAAATTATGTGGAAAACAGAATAAGATGTTTCTAACTTCACCTTTGTAGCCTTTAGCACACACGTCTTTTTTCTAAGAACAGTTTTAAACTGTGTAACTGAAATATCCTACTTACTAATTTGGCATTCAAGTGATCCTTATAATTGCTGAACATTTTCTTTTCAAAGTAATCCATTTCTTCAGAGGTCAGAAGAGCCATTTTACGAACTTCTTCATACGTCCACTCAACATCACAGCGAGGCAGGCCACACACAAATCTGCACTCACCCTTAGATGGTAAAAAGAAAATTGGAGAAAATAATGAACAAATTCTTGGTTCACTGCCATCTACTATCAGTGTCAAGGTCAAACTTGCATCCTCAAATATAAAGTTTCTGATTTAACTAAACTCACCACTTATAAAAAGAAATGAAACTTGTTTCCTCTGTCAGCTGATAAGTCACATTCTGACTCCTCTTTTACTATCACAACTTTATTTTCACTATTGGAAATCACTACTTTATTACCTATGATGTTGCAGTGTTTTTCAGTCACTAACATGCCTATGAATTTCAGGATTAAAATGATGTAAACAGCAGTATACCTTATCCAACAACCTGCGACAATGGTTGGTGAGAGACATCGGAGTGACAGCATGACCACAGGACATCTTTGCTCTGAGAGACTTGAAGTCTTCGCACAAAACTATGAGACACACAAAGAGGAAAAGTTGTGATAAAGAATGACATGTTTGTAAAAATAAATGATATATAACAGAAGCTTATAGCCACTTGGTAATCATATTATTCAGAACTAACTCTTGGAAAACAACAACTAAAACTATCTGACTACTTACAGTCTAAACCATCATCTTCATTGACAAATGTAAGCGTTGTGTCCCCAGGGTCATAACACTTCTCCTGTCCAGCTGTCGGACTGCTGCTCTGTGTAGTTGTGAAAAAGTTGCCCATCTTGACTGGCTGTTAGACTACTCATGCAAATGAAATACCAGGGCTATGAGAGTTATGTGTGTGTGTGTGTGTGTGTGTGTGTGTGTGTGTGTGTGTGTGTGTGTGTGTGTGTGTGTGTGTGTGTGTGTGTGTGTCCCACCCCCCCTCCTCCTCTTTATTTCCTTGAAGTCACGTGATTTTCAGTAGCACTGTGCAAATCGTTAAAATGTCACAAAGTCCCTTGTAGATCTGTAATCTAAAATGTTAGTTCCTGTAGCAGAAGAAACGCATCAGAAGAGCACACTCCATTCTGTCCTTACAGTGCTCACACCACAGGCTCAGCTGCAAAATGCCGGTAATCCAGGTCAAACTAAATGGACCCAGAGGAGAGGAGAAGATCATCGATCTGTGTGAGACTGAAGAGCAGCTGGGGAAGATCACTGTGAAGCAATTTAAAGAGATTGTCACTAAAGAACTTCACATAGGTATGTGTCATGACCCTTTTTAAAACCTCCATAAAGATACTGTTTCTGTTCCAGTTTTCCCAAATTATTTTATAACATTCTGACACTGAAATGGCTTTATTTGAGACAGACAAATCAGGAGAAAATTAACTTTAGTCGAGACATGTTACCGTTTCAGCAACATACTCTTATCAGAACTGCTGTGAGCTTACACTTGATATCAGACATTAGGCTAGCAGATAAAACGAGGGGCTAAATAATGAACAATCATTAACTTTGTACTGTGTAGCCTATTTAGTGTTGTATTGTTCATCTATCCAAACACATTCACAACACTTCCAAACAAAGTGGGGAATGTGGAAGAGGGACGACCACGCCCACTTAGGAGACAGGAACTGTATATCATTTCTTATCATTGGCGCATCTTGTAATGGGTTATCATCTGTTACAGATTATCCTTGTCTCAGCAATTCATTCATTTCATTGAAGACAACTGCATTTAATTGTGTTTGAGTTGAGATTATTATACAAGATATAATTAAAAAAAATCGCATTAGGAAAGAATCAGTAGACACAGGATTTGTAAAAACAAAAACAAAAAAACAACACATTTTTGATTAAATATTCGATATTCATCGTCTCAATGTTTAATTAATTTCTTTAAATAAAACAATTTAGTTGTTATTTTATAAGTTTAGATTATTAAACAAGATACAAACTTGAGGGAAAATTTGCATAGAAAAGAATATTTTTAAAACAAACGATAATAGAACAACCAGAAACACTGAATGAATATATAAAAGGAATGCATTTAAAATTACTGATGCATTAATAAACAATTGCTTAATATCAGGGAGGGGAAAAAAAGCCCAAAGGCTATGCGTGATTGTTTAATAGGCAGGAAATCTTTCATAGCTAATGTTCCTAAAAATATCAGGAAACTTTCTCTGAAAATATTCACAATGAAATACTACGCCTACTCAACTCAAAATTCATCCAAATCGCTAGTTTTCCTGCAGTTCCTGCGACTTCCTGCAGTTATTGCGTTCACTATTTGGGTTAGTGTTATGCTTTTAAGATCATATAAAATATCCGTAAAATATGTCAGTCAGGGGTCGTCAGTTTACTCAATAATAGAAAAGGGGTCCCTTTAAGGAAAAAGGTTGGGAACCACAGGCCAAAGCGATTATTATTTTTATTTTTATTTATTTTTATTTTTTTTTTACCGTTGTCCAGCTCTGACACCTGTCAGACCGAAATGGAAGCAGACCCAGTGTGCACAAGCAAGTGCTCCTCGGTTTGGACCAGTTATAAGCTTTTAGCCTATATCAATATTATGAAAATAATAGGCTAGTATCAAATAATATAGTAGGCTACAGGCAAATTGTATTCATATGAAAGCTATAGGTCGGTTGATATCATGTAGGTAGGCCATAAATTAAATATTCCAGTCTCAGCTGGAGTTTGACTGTCCACTGCAACACTGTCGATCACAGCAGTGATTTCATACTGTGTTTTTTCCGACGTCCTTTGATGCCCCTGATCATTCCCTGCTGTGATCTGTGAGAATGTTTCATGAATCACACGCGAACCCTTTCGTTAGATTATTTCTGCGCTCCGATCTGCACTGACTGATAACTGAGGGCCAATGATCTGTCTTTTTAACGACTTTTCTACCTTAGGCCAGACATCTAAACATTTAGCTAAGACATCTTTTAAAACTAATTTACAGGATTAGCCTGCAGACTTCTCGGGCTAAATTAAGAACAGTTCAAATAAATAAATTAAAGATTGCTGGGTTGGATGACTGACAGCAGAGTGAAGACAGAAAGCGTTCTTAAACAGCTCCTAAAATTGTTCCCCACACCTCATTAGTTGTACAACAACAACATATCAGAGGTCAGTTCAGATTTTTGTTACTGGTCACTGTTAGAAATGAGAACATGTTTTAATTTACCCTGTGAAAAAAATGCAAGAATTTGACTCTATACACTGTAAATGTATTTTTAACTTTTAACTTAACTTCTGAACCTGACACATAAGGCGTTTCTCAATACTCAAGTTCAGCACTTCGGACTTGTGGACTTGGCAAGTCCGACTTCCCAAGAACGGGAGGACGGGAGTACAGTCATTTCTGCTTTTGGAACAGCAGCTAACTTGATGATGTCACCACCTCCTCTCGCCTTGGCTTGTTGTACTGTGTTGTATACCTGCATTTAGAATAAAACAATGTAAACACAGCCCAGCCCTGCGTCTTTTCATAGACATTGTAAGAAATTAATATGTAGGCCTATATGTTTTAACGTTTCAACTGACATACAATAATATAAATAGCCAAAATATTTTCATAAAATGTCTTATAAAACCTTTTCCTCGCCGCTGGCTTTTGATTATATTTAATCTATATCCAATTCCCGCACCTGGCTTCTGATTATGTGAAATCAAATCAAAAGCCAGGTGCAGGGGGAAAGTGGAGAGTTGGTGGTTATTGTGATCGTGAGCATTGGCGAGATGGAAATCAAAAATCAATAACGGATCGGAGAAGGCGTCTTGGCGCAGTTATTGCAGCAGGATTGCTGTAGCCTTACCTGCAGGCTGAGGAGGAGGCTGCCCAGCTGAGGAGGCAGATCCCAGAAAGACAGCGGGGGATGAGACGGAGGATGAGACGTGCGATGCTTGCATGTCTCTATTGTTTGATATGTTTGTCCAGTTGTGGACAAAGTACCCAGGAATATCACAACAAAGAACAAAAACTCAGTCACAAGTAAAAGTGCTGCAAATCTGACTTGAGTAAAAGTATCTGGGTATTGTCAACGAAATGTAGGCCTGCTTAAAATGAAAAGTTAAAAGTACTCACTATGCAGAGTGACCCAATTTCAAGTGTTACATGAATATGTATTGAGTATTAATTGATCATCGTAGGCTACATGTAAGCAGCATTTAAATGTTGTCATGGTAGAACTAATTTTAACACCTTTCACTGGTGTACTAGTCTAATCTATAACAACACACAGCAACTTGTAAATATGAAACAACAACATATAAAACAAACTATCTGAAAAGTAACTATAGCTATCAAATAAATGTAGCTTGAGTAGAATGTACAGTATTTCCCTTTAAGTATAAAGTAGCACAAAATGGAAATACCCAAAATACAAGTACATCAAATTGTACTTAAGTAGGCTACAGTAGCTACTTGAGTAAATAGTTACGGTCCATCACTGCATTTGTCTCATCATTATGCTTTCTGTCTACATTTTTATGGAGACTTGACAGTTTACTTGGTACACCTTGAAAAAAACAACAGCAGTTTAATATTCAGTCTAACATTTTATTGAAGTGTTGAGTTGTAGATTGTGGTGCTGTTGAACTGTACTGGATTACACTGACAGCAGTTTCTCATTTAGTCTGTCCTCACCAATATAAATGGGATCAAACAGGTCAAATATGAAGAGGAGAATTTTATTCAGCCACACTTAAGACATGTAACTCTGAGAGACAGTTTTTACAGAGATTTCATTCAAATGTTTATTTTACATTTTTCCGTAATAATTTAATCAATGTTTGAATTCATACAGTCATTAAAATGTGTTAAAACGTAATAAATAAGTTGTCTAAAAGGGTAACTTTAATTAAAAACTGGACTAAAATGCACTACCTCAAAAATAACGTTTGGTTAAAGTCTGTGTAAAGCAAATTCTGCTATTTTCTTCTAAACACATTAAATAGGTCATAAAAGTACTCCTCAAAATGTGTAAAAAAGCCTTTCAACCATTTACAATGGAATTGTGGAGCTAGACTCCACAAACTGTGTTTCTAGGTTTCAATTTTCTGGATTTAATGGGCGGGCCTTAAATCATAGGTAACGGAGCTATCCCCGCTGCAAACACGCCCCCTGAGGCTGTAGCAGTATAAATACACACTCTTGTACAGTAGGTGGCGGTATGCACCTGGAAGTTGTTTGCGATCCGCCAATAAATTGAGAGAAGAAGAAGAAGAAGAAGCAGCAGCAGCAGCAGTATCCACCTTATTTTCAAACACGGAAGTAAATAGTGATCAACTTCTGTTTTTTGTTGTGCGTGACTTCCGGTCAGCTGCTTTCCCTCATGCTTTCCCTTACCGGAGCTAACGGTGCAAGCTAATTTTTTTTTCAATTTTCAGTTGTTTATGTTAGTCAATCAGTTAATTAGTTAGTTAGTCTGTGTATTTTGTATCTCTCTCTCTCTCTCTCTCTCTCTCTCTCTCTATATATATATATATATATATGGATTTAAGATGGTACATAAACACACATGAAGTCAGAGGAATACCAGTGGTTATATTGCACACACAAAGAATAGCCTATAGCCTATATCTATAGATATCTATCTATCCATAGATATATATAGATATATATTCTTTGTGTGTGGAATATATGCTGACAATAACCGATAAATGATCACGCCCAGAGCCGCCAGTGTCAGCAACATTTTGTAGAGAGGGGGATAAGTGCTGTCCCATTCCTATTTGTAGCATCAGGAGCCCTTTCAGACTCTCACACTCAATCACTTACAGCTGACGTCAGTTAAAGGGCCAGTGTGTAAAATGGGTTGAAAACAGTGACATCAGTGGTCAAATTCTAGATTGCAG